CATTTAATCTGCAGCTGTTCTGGTTCTGGACAACCAGGCAGATATGCTAGGATGGGTCAGAATGGCCTAGTCAAAGGTGCCTAGATTTGAATTACATAATTCAAAATCCAATTTTACATAGTTGAGCAGGTTAAATTAGATTTTTGATCATTTTGAATCGATTTGAACTGGGAATCCTCTAAAGATGCTGCAGTCTGGCAGTCCAGCCTGCAGGTCAGAAATCTCTTCCTAGCGCCGTTCTTCTTCAGCTGTTTGCACGCTGCTGCATCACAGGCCGCTGCTGCAGAACGAGACTTCAACATGCAACTGGAACCCCGGTTGTGTTCTGTGGCTCCTTCCTCAGAAAATCCAAACTGAAACGGTTGAAATCGGCTCAATCCTCAGCACCAAGCTGGTTGAGGAACCGAGCCGAGCCCAGCTGTGATGTCGGTCGTTGTTTGTTGCTCTTTCTGTGGCAGCTGTCGTTCATGGTGCGGCTGGTGCCGAGCCCGGACTGGTTCGTGGGCGTGGACGGCATGGACCTGTGTGACGGCGACCGCTGGAAGGACAAAGTGACACTGGAGCTGTTCCCGTACGACGCGGGAACGGACAGCGGATTCACCTTCTCCTCGCCAAACTTTGAGACGATCCCGCAGGACAGAATCACGCAGGTGAGCCGAGAGCAGCGGCGCCTCCATCAGACGGAGAAACCTTCTGAGCCACAACCACAGTTTCACCAAATCAGACGTCGTCTCACTCTTCTTATTCTGCTCTGGTGAAAACTACCGACTAAAAGATCAGGACAGGGCAGGGGTGTCCAAAGTGTGGCGCGGGGCCGTTTGTGGCCCTTGAACTGACTCTGTGTGGTTACCAGCTGCAATTCAAAACTCATACAAATTTGGAGACTTTTACTTTGTAATGAAAAACATAAAGTACAACACAAAGTATTTGTGTTTTTATAACCAAGTTTTTCCAGAGACGTTAACTGAAAAACTGACTTTGCTGCAACAAAATCAACTTTCATCCTTTCTGAAACTTAAACAAATATTGAAACAAAGTGACCCACATCCTGTTTTTATTACTGAAAATAAATTTATTCAATCAAGGCCAAAAGAAACTGAAAACGAGAGGTTCTACTATGAATATCTGTAGTAATGACATATTTTCCTGTCATTACTTTTGAGTCAAAACCACCTCTAGGATTCAGACTGTGTCATTTTCCCCAGATCACCTCGTCCTTCCCGAGCCACCCGGCCAACTCCTTCTTCTATCCCCGCCTGAAGCATTTACCGCCCATCGCCAAAGTCACGCTGACAAAAATCAAGAAAACAAATCAAATCATCAGCCTGCCGCTGGAGCCCACGCAGTCCAACCTGCTGCCAACGGGGAACGAGATCGAAGACAAGCTGATCAGTAAGACCGAATATTCCTGTAATAAACACATTTATGGACTTTTATTAGGTCAAATGCAGTGGAAGTCATTTCTGCATATGGTGAAAATATAAACCAATAAAGAAACACTGTGTTTATATGATAGATTTATTATTTATATAACCACTATTTTGCCAAACAAGAATCTTGTAGGGCGGCCAGCTTGAAAAATGTCCGTCAACCTAAATTTCAAGTGGCTGATGGGAAATATGAAATGTAAACTGACCATTAACATTTAGGCTTTGACGTGCCCTTTGACCCCACAGACTCGCTACGTACAAGACGTTTTGACACAAAAGAGTTTTTTTCTCCACAATTTTGCTGATAGTAAAGAAGGTTGGATAATAAAACTTCAGGAACTGAATCTTTTATTTATTAAGGGAAAATCTCCAGGTACACAGAGTGGGCGACCGGGTCCATTGGGGCAACCGGGTTCCCTCGGGGCGACCGGGTCCCCTCGGGGTGACCGGGTCCAATGGGGCAACCGGGTTCAATGGGGCAACCGGGTTCAATGGGGCAACCGGGTTCAATGGGGCAACCGGGTTCAATGGGGCGACCGGGTTCAATAGGGCGACCAGGTCCATTGGGGCGACCGTGTCCAATGGGGCAACCGGGTCCAATGGGGCGACCGGGTCCCCTCGGGGCGACCGGGTCCAACGGGGCGACCGGGTCCAATGAGGCGACCGGGTCCATTGGGGCGACCGTGTCCAATGGGGCAACCGGGTTCAATGGGGCGACCGGGTTCAATAGGGCGACCAGGTCCATTGGGGCGACCGTGTCCAATGGGGCAACCGGGTCCAATGGGGCGACCGGGTCCCCTCGGGGCGACCGGGTCCAACGGGGCGACCGGGTCCAATGAGGCGACCGGGTCCATTGGGGCGACCGTGTCCAATGGGGCAACCGGGTTCAATGGGGCAACCGGGTTCAATGGGGCGACCAGGTTCCCTGGGGGCGATCGAGTTCCCTCAGGCGGGCGTCCCGCTGGTGCTCCCTGCTCTAAATGGACCTGAACCTGTTTTTAGCTCACCTCCCAGTGAAGGTTTGAGTCAGCATCACTAAATACAAGCCGGTTCCATGACAACACCAATACAAACAACACAGCGTCCAAGAAGCTGTTGGGGTTTCCTTCCCCGATTCCTAGGGCTCCATCTTTCTGTTTATCCTACACTTCCACTCGTCCGTAGCATCCCTGCTAATGTCTTTCCTAAAACATGACCTTTGACCTGCACAGGCTGTATCAGAGACAGAAAGCCCATCGGTTTGCATCTCTGCAGTATTTTATCGGCTCATCCTGCTGCTTCCCATTAATGCGGCTTCCGCCCGCCTCCGGACCTTCTGCTTTTCCACTCTCTAACCCACGACTGCAATACGAATCAGCTGGAAATCTGGTCACATCAGGCATCAGGGAGGAGCACAGAACCAACACCAGGCTCTATGTGAGGCTTTTCCTCCAGCTTACAGGCAGAAGAAATGACGAAAACAGACGTTTTTCCATCACTTTCATCAACAAATGAAGCTGAAATGAAGCAGCTCGGTCACTGCCAGGACTTTCCCACAAGAGGCCGGGGATTATCGCAGTAAAATCAATTCAACGCATCATAAATTAAAACTAATTATTTCCACTTATCGTTTCTCTCTTTATACCAAAAACTGGATGATGAAGTTTCAGTCTGGTGCTTTGGTCTCAACTAAATACTTTTTGAGGAATGATTTTGTTTTAGAGATTCATAATTAATTTTATTAGTTTTATTTGTTATTGTTTTATTTTCTATATTTATTTATATTTAATTTAACCTTCCAGTGTTAAATGTTCATGAGAATTTAAAGTTTATTGATTTATGATGTTTTCTTACTTTATCGCAATAATTTCTGCATCCAGTAACATTTGTTTATATCTCTTACGCCTGAGTTTCCACTTTGCAGGACAATGAAGGTTGATGTTATTCTTCTATTTTAAGAAGAATAACATTTTTCTGAATGTGATCTTACATTATTATGCTGTTACTTCAAAATAGTCTAAAACCAACAACATTATCGCTTATCATCCTGCAAAGTGTGATTCTGCAACTACATTTTGTTGCTTTTTCTCGCTCCAATATCCGCTGTAAGGTTGTTATTTCTCAGACATTGATCCTTTATTTTGAGTGAACGCTTTGTGGGACGACATTTGTGGTGTTTCATGAGTTTATTGCCCCTCTGCCTCTGCAGATACCCCTCTGGACTGCGAAGTGTCCCCCTGGTCGCCGTGGGGTTTGTGCAAAGGGAAGTGTGGCGACTCAGGTGTGCAGCATCGCACCCGCTACGTCATCATGCACCCGGCCAACAACGGAGCCGCCTGCCCCTGCTGGACGAGGAGAGGAAGTGCTTCCCGGACAACTGCTTATGACTAGGCCAGGACAGGATGGAGAGGAAGGCCGTGAAGGAGAGGAAGGCCGTGAAGGAGAGGAAGGCCGGGAAGGAGAGGAAGGCCGGGAAGGAGAGGAGGAGGAGGAAGGAGAAGAAAACCAGGAAAGGAAGGACCGGGCGCAGACGCTCCAAGAATCACAAACGGTCTGCGGTTTAATCCCAGTCCGTTTGTTGATGAACCGGGTCGGATTCGAGTCAGGTTTCAGATCAGGTGTAGTTCTGGCCAACCAGCCAGTAGACACCGCTTCAGTTTTCATGATTGGAACGGCCGACAGGAAGACAAACTGGAAACATTTTACACAAATTTAAACCCTGTTAAATTAGATGTGACCCGAAATAAATCCAGACCGAGCTGCCTGTCGCGTTTTACAGACATTCTGTGTTTCTGTTGTTTATATTTATTGACAGGATTTTAACCTGTTCTGTACAGCGTAACAAATCTGAACGTTAGAAACTGTATTCCTCTACAATAATGAGACAAATCTATCAGTTTTATATGACAGTAAAAATTGTAACAGATGCAGTTACTAAAGTTAATAAAGTGTGAAAGTACCACATGAAATGAGATTTTTATTTTTGTTTATTGTGATTATGATTGATTTGTTGCTGAACAATAAGCTAACTGCTTCTGTTTGTAAAAAATACAAATAAATAATCAAATGGATATAAAGATGTCATGAAACAGAAAAGTTCATGTAATTAGAGTGAAATTCAGTAAAATGACATCAGTAATATTATTTACTGTGCAGTCTGAGTAGAATGGAAAATAGAATATACTTTCTTGATCCTTAAGAAGAGAAAACTACGCCAGAAACATTAACAAATACAAATACAACCAAAAGCAATCTAAAAATATTAAAGCTGCAATTTAAATATGATTAAATGTAAACAAATGGCTGAATAAAGAAGTAAAATAAGAAGCGTGCACATGGAAACATGTTCATCTATAATAAATCTAGAAACAAGTGCAGAGAAAAACTAGATTCAAGTCTCTCGGATTTGTGCATCATAAAGTGTATGTGCTGCTAAATACTAATTTGTTACTATAATGAGCTTCAGACATTTGAATGTGTGCTGCAGCTTTTCTATTGGCTCTCAGATCCACCAATCACAGGCAGCGATAAAGACTGGCCACGGCGCAGCAGCTGCAGGTTTCTCAGGCTCAAACCGCCTGTGGGCTGTAAACTCACCACACTGACGCCGTTCTTCAGTCTGAACGGTGAAACTCCGGGTAATTCAGGATGGATTTCCGCCGGGTCGTTTTCCTGCTCCACCTGCCGCTGGCCGCCGCCATGTACTTCGATCTGGGAGAGCAGGAGCAAAAATGCATCATAGAGGAGATTCCTGAGGACACCTTGGTGACAGGTGAGGCACGCACAGCAAACCCCCAAACCAGACTCCTCACCTCTAACAAACAACCTGATCGCTTGAATCACACGTTTTTATCACAAAGAGCTTCAGCTGTTTCTGAATAAATACACAATAACTTCCTTGAAAAGAATAACACGATACAACCCCAGGCTGGCATCTATAGAGAAACACTATTTGGTCATTCACTCGCTTTCAATGAATCGTAACTCAGAGGAGAGGAACTAAAAAGGATTTATGTTTTAGAAAACCACGGACAACCCTGAGCGTTTTAGAAAAACAAGCATCTTCAGTCAGAGGCTTCTTCAAATTCCCTGTAGTACAGTCTGCTGCAGCAGATCTTTCCTGCCAACAACCATCATCATCTACAATAACTGAGGAATTCATATGATTTACAGCAAAATCTGGGACACAAAAATACTTTTAGGAACTAAAATGATCAAGAATGTGATTTTTTTTCTCTTCTCAACAATAAACAGATTAATCAGATTTTCTGTAGGAACTGGTTTTCTCAGAATTAAACAGAGTCCAGGTCCGTTTTCGTTTGAAATGAGTTTTGATACAGCGATTAAAAGTACACGTCATTGATCCAGTTACCATGACGACTGGAAGAAACCACATGATCGCTTTGTGTTGAATATGGCATTTCTGATGAACTCGAGCTGCTTTGTGTCTCCCACCTGCAGGAAACTTCTTCCTGGAGCCGTGGGACGTCACATCTTTCAGCCACTCGCCTCACCTGGGCGTCACGGTTACCATCAGAGACCCAAACCAGGAAGTATGCAGGAAATCCTCACTGGTGTCGAAACACAAACAGAACAGCTGCAACCTGATTCTGAACAACCAAACATTTTCAGGGAAAAGTTTCAGTCACAAGGTGTTTCAAAGAAAAGCTACAAATAAAGAAGTGATTTTAGTCAGAGGTTCAAAGTGCGGCCTGTGGGCCATTTGTGGCCCTTGGACTGATTCTGTGTGGCCCCCCAACTATAAATCAATAATGACACAAATTTGGAGACTTTTCATCTGTAATTGGGGTAAAAACTGTTACCAATATATTTGTTTACGCAGGAAAATGTATAAAGTACAACAGAAAGTATTCATGGTTTCAAAGTTTTAACCAAGTTTATCCAGAGACTTTTACTGCAGCAAAATCAGATTTTATTCTTTCTGAAACTTTGATAAATAAAGTAAATAATTGGAAACAAAATGACACAAATCCTGTTTTCATCACTGAACATAAATCTATTCAGTTGAGTCCAAAACTGAATACATTTTTGGGCTCTTCTAATCTCTCTGTATCAGGAGAGGAGATTCTTCTCTGCTCCAGCAATCAGGACCATTGGACAAAAAGAAAAGTAGCAAATTTCTGTCAAAAAAATCTGAAATTTTTAAAACGATCTCAGAAATATCCTACAAAAAAAACTTCAAAACATTTTAATTTGAAATGTTGAAAATGTTTCTAGAAAATTTCTGATACTAATCCTAAAAGTTCAGAGTGTTTTGGTTTAAATTTACTCCTTTTCTTCCATCTACAAAGCCCTGACAGACTGTCATAAAATCCCTTTTAAGTTTTGGGTCTACTGTAAGCATCAGGATATTTTATGTACTTTATTTCAGGTGGACTGTTGGACTGTGATTACTGCGTTTTGCCCCGCATGGCAAAAAGTTTGGACACTTACGTCTATTTTTCTTCCCTTTTCAGGTTCAGTTGTCCAAACGCTACGGAAAATTTGGTAAATTCACCTTCACAGCTCACGGCTCCGGCCAGCACTACCTGTGCTTCCAAACCAACTCCACCAGGTTCTCTGTGTTCGCTGGAGAAAGGCTGGTGAGACCTGTGGAGAAATACAAACAACAATCACAAACCCAACAGAAGAGCAATGCACTCTGGGGGTTTTCACCACTTTGTTCCACAGAAGCTGCATTTGGACGTTCAGATGGGAGAGCACTCGGTAGATCCCAAAATGGACAGGACCAAAGACAGCCTGCAGATTCTGGAGAGCAATCTGCAACACCTGACCAGCCAGATGACGTACATCACCAGGCAGCAGGAGTACAACCGGGTATATCTACCTGACATTCACCAGGAATGATAAAGAAACACCTAAACTGATCTGGATGTCTGGCTCTTTGTCTTTGTTCAGGAAAAAGAGGAGATTTTCCGTCAGATCAGTGAGGAAACCAACAGCAAGGTGTTGTGGTGGGCGGTAATCCAAACCTGCATCCTGCTCTCCGTTGGTTTCTGGCAGATCAAACGACTCAAAGACTTCTTCATTGCCAAGAAACTGGTCTGACGTCGCCGTCTCGCCGATCTGTACGGCACCAACATCATGTCAGGACTGGGAAACAAACATGATATCTGACCTGATTCTGCATGGGTAATAAAAAGAGGCCTGGAAAATAAAGGAAGGTTCAACAAATTAAATGTTTTGCTTTTTTATTACGTGCTTCATTTCACAAACTTTTTGCCATGTGGGCCAAAATTGTAAACTCAAAAGTAACCGCAGAACAAAAACCCAACAGAAAATCACGTAAATAAAGTATCTTGATGTTTATCATGGATCCAAAACTTAAAGGGGATTTTTACAAGTTTATTGGGGTCTTTGCAGATAGAAAAATAATACATTTCTGCACTCATTACTGCGCTTCGGACACCCCTACTTTAGAATTGCTGAGATTAAAAAAGGTTCCTTTCTTAATTTCACCATCTCATACTTGATGTGAGGAAAAGTTAGTGAATTAAGAAGTTGTCCTCCACCTTTAGTATTAAACACACTTTGTCCAAAGCACCAGGATCACTTGAAGGAAAAGAAGCACACAGCATAATGCAGCCACTGCCATGCTTGCCAGCTGGCTTGAAACGCCTGTCATTCAAACTCGTTCTTAAAATGTCTTGAAGTCCTATCACCAGATCAGACCGTCATGAACAAGTTCAAACACAAATAATTAGAACTTATAAGCCCAGAAATAATGTGGTAACAATAAACGATATAGATTAAATTCGTGTTGGTTGCATGCAAACGTCTGAACTGAACTTCAACAGTCCTTTAAATAAATAGCTTCATAAGCTTCTGGTTGGATCCTCACTGCTGCGGCTAACGGTGAGCTAACACGTCTCATTTACACCGAGACCAAATTTAGAATATTTAACAGCGAAACACCCGCGAAACATAAAACACACATTCACTGAACACATTTGATCTAATATTAGCTACTCACCAGAAGGTGGAGGGAAAAGCGTTTTCCAATAAGAATGGTGACAGTTTTAATGAGCTAGCTTCTAACGGACTTCTTAATTATGCTAACGATGCTAATTAGCTTCACTGAGGAGGAAGAAGAAAACGACGAACTTCCTGTTGGATGAAACCAAAAACAGGAAGGATGGAGCAGATAAACTGAAGGATCCAGAGGGTTTATTTATCACGAACTGATAAAAACCTCACTGGTAATTAGCCTTAAATATATTTACTGATAATTATTTTTGTTGTATTATGTTGTTATGTTAGCCAGCCTTATGCTAACTTAGCATTAGCTTCACCTGAAGCAATCTGAACATTATCTGATTATTTTAAATGTTCTGCTCTCATTAACGGAGCCTGAAACAATAAGTGCCACGACAAGTAAAAGCAATAACAACGAAAATGATTTTTAATGAATTTTATTCAACAGCAGGTCTTCCAATGTCCTACTGGGTCTGCTGCAACTCCTGCTTTCTTTGCCCGAGTCCTGAGCGCAAACTGGCGGTGACGTCCTGCGGCCATGTCATCTGCAGCGGCTGCTACCAGAAAGGTAGAAACGCCTTCTGCACTCACTCTTCGCTTTTCATGACCCAACAGTCTGGGCCAAAGTTTGCATCCTCTTTCAGGCTTTGAATGACTGGTGTCAGCAGTATACTGTAATCCTGGCTGCATTAGGATGAAGACAAGTAGTCAGTTTGGTCACAGAGTCAAAGTTTCTGTGAGTTAAATGAAAGTTTCCAGATGCCAGAACAGTTCCCTAGTGAGAAACATGGCAGTGGATGCATCATGGTGAAGCAGATCAATAAATTACATCTGAAAATACAATCAAAAACACTTTTCCAGACTGGTCTCGGGAGAATCTGATCAAATGGTTCATATATCCATCTTTAACAGTGATTTCCAGCCATTTAACAAAGACACACAGACAACAACACAACATCTTTATATATACAGCTTTAAATAAAAACATTCATCTCTTAACACTCTCCTTATTGTTGTCTTCTTTGTTCATCCTAATGAAAAGGCCTGTCACAGTAAAAGGTTGGACGGTAAAGAAGTTAGAAACAATTTATAAACAATAATATTGTTGCACCATGTTCAAGTTTTACAATAGTAATGCCATAATAATGCAAAAACATATTCTCAAAGAACAATAAACTTTAAATTATAACATTTACACTGTAACTGGAAAACATTTTAAATATTCAAAATAAATAAACAAAACAACAAATATAATGAATTATTTAGTCTCTGAAAGCAAAATTATTCTTCAAAACAGGTTTAGTAGAGACCAAAGCACCAGACTGAAAACTTTATCGTCCAGTTTTTAAAATGCTGGGTATCACAGTGGCGTTGTAAACTAATAAAATTTCAGTATTTTCCCCTGAGAAACAAAAACTATTCCTGCAGATATGAATTTCTCAGATTACCAGTAATTCTGTCTGTTTTCTTCCCACCATATCTTCAGCTGTTCTTGTGAGTAAGCCAGTTTTCAGCCTCTTATCATTATTGTTTTTAAACTCAATCCTTTGTTAAGCTAACTGTAAGAAACAGTTGTTTACATGTGGCCCTCCAGTGGTCCAGGAACCACAGTTTGAGAAACCCTGAATGAGGCTTGTGGTTTCTAGAGAGCGCAGTTCTCTCTCTACCAGAGGTTTGAAATAAATATGCATCATTTTATCTTCATAAACTGGAGAAAATCCACAGCAAATTAAACTTTTTATGGTATTATTTTGTCCCTAAACTTTGCTAAGAAGCCTAAAAATTCAGTAAAGTCCTGCTGGCCAGAGTCTGAGCGCACAGCGGCATCTACTGGTCACACAGCAGAACTGCAGAAACACATTTTCTACTTGAGATCTGTTCTTTGTTTTTGTCTTTTCCTTCATAAACAAATCTTATCATTTGTTTATTTAGGAGAAGAAATATTTCATCTTTTCTCATAAAACATCAAAACAGGAATCACTGATGGAGCTCCTGCTTATTTCAATCTGATGAACCCAAATGATTGATTTTGGTTCTCTGGGTCTCTCAGCATCAGATGTGTCCAAAGAGTGGCTCGGGGGCCATTTGTGGCTGTTGGACTGATTCTGTGCCGCCTGATTCAAATTTAGCACCTCTGATGTAAGAGATGAAGAATGAAAACGAGTCATAAATGTTCTCTCTCTTCCAGGCAGCCATGGCCGCTGTTTGATATGCAGCAGCCAGTGCCAGGTTTCTCCTCTTTCTGACAAAGTAAGATCATTTTATTCCCACACAGATTCGTGTTTCTGCTGTTTCACCTTCAGGTTTCATGTGTTCATGTTTCCAGAGCAGCTCAGACGTGAAGGCTTTGTTTTCTGACGTCGGCGTTGTGGCAACCAGACATCTGACAGAGATCAGCAAAGTTTGCATAGTTCCACATTTATTACGAACTGTCCGGTGATAACTGTCTCTAGATGTGTTTAATTCAATTATTTCAGGTTATTCTTGCAGATTTCACATTGTTTTCTTCCAGGTTGTGGCGTTTCAGGCCCGACATCAGAAGAGGTTGCTCAACTACTACAAGCAAAAGGTGAGAGACTTTGTCACTTTACAGCCAACAGATAGTCGTTAGGTAAATAACCCACTGCTTAATTTCTGAAAAGTGTGGGTGCATTTGTTTTTAGCCTCTTCCCATCAGCTTTAAACATTTACAGACTTTATTTTTTTGTGATGATCAAAAACTGATAATTCTGCCGTTTTGCTGCGTTTTACAGAATCATAAACTAGAAGACATGTTGGTCACTTTAAAGCAAGAAATGCAGCAGATGGGAAGTTAGTAAAAACTGCAGCTTCGTGGACCAGATTGAAGTTTTCAGATGTTTAATTTCCTGTTTTGTTTTTAAAGGAAGCTGAATGATCAGAGGACTTACATTGCTAAGCTGGAAAACTCTCTCCAGCACCACAGGTCAGCTGGCTCGTTTAATCCAGAGTTATTATGCAGATTATCAACGTTACTGTCAATCCTGAGGCAGGAGCAAGCAAAGTTAAAATGGCCCAAAATTATACTTTAGCTTATTTATGTTTTCAGCAACAAATAGGTTCTCACAAAGAAAGAAGTGTGATTATATTCTCAGCAGCAAAAAATAAGCAAAGTTTCATGAATGAATGAAAATCAGATTAGGTGCAGGAATCCTGATTTTCAGAATTTAAAAAGATAATCTCTTTATCTTTTATTCTGATAATATTTACTGTAAGAAGATTTTTGTCTTGATTGAAAGTGAAAATTCTCCTGAGCTGCTGGAGCCACAAATCCTGCTAAATATTTAGTCATGTTAATAACATTTTATGTAGATATTCAGACATATTGTTTCATTTTTTTAAACTCGTTTCCTAAAAATCTAGAAATCTATCCAACTTAGCTGCACATTTTCATGAAGGTGGGTTTTTTTAATAACTATGCAGTATTTATTTTATTTTCTGTATATTGGACATTTCTTCTTAATGTTCAGTTTTCTTACTTTTATTAATCCACCTGCTTTCTTCTGTTACTTTTCTACTTTTATACCTGAATATTCCCAAGATGTTTTCATTATTTCTGTTATATTTGCCATCTATTTGATGAAAACTTCTGCTCTGTTCAGTAAAATCTTTATTTCCCTCAGTCTGAAAATATAAATGCAGTGAAATACACTTCACGCTCCACTAGATGGCGCAATTGACTCAGTCACACCTGAACCGTTTCAGTCAACAGGCATCAACAAAAACTGGATCATACAGAAATACTTTCAGCTGCAAATAAAAGCAAAATATCAGGATAGTTTTAAAGTTTTAGACGGTTTTTAAAGTATTTTGCATTTTGCAGTGGAAAGTTTACACCTAAACTGCCTTTATTGGATTCAAATCAATAATTGTGCGGTTCAATAAAATAAATTTTGTGTTTCTGCAGTTTAAAAGCTCCGTCTCCAGTCAGCAGCAGTCCTCACGGCCCGCATGGAAGCAAATCAGGTGAACGTTGCTACATAAACACTAACACATTAAAACGTCGTAATAGAAAAATGTGTTTGGACAAAACAAAACAGCATAAAGTTTTAATCATCTTATCCATCACCAACCGGGCAGAACTCTGTGCTTAGAGGAGAAAAACTCAACAACTCGCTTCTTTTCAACGCTTAATAAGAGAAACCGAATTTATTTTCACCTGAAAATGATCAAAATAACCCAAATAAAATAACATGCAGTGAAGTTTAAGGAGTGTGGATAGTTTAGCACTTTAATTGGCCTGTTGGGGTTTGAAAACGAACCAAATGCAGGAAGCAACAATAAATACTGAACAAAATATGGCAAGACATAAACGGATATAAATAAATGAGGAAAAGATGGAGAAAACCCAAACATCGTTGTTTTTCTCCACCTCGTTATTTATTATTCTGGCTCCCTCGACGCTGCCTCAACGTTAGCATCCACTAGCATACTGATGCTAATCTTAGCATATGGACGAAGATTAGCATTTTAGCTTTTACGCTATTGTTTCCATACAACACGGACTTTGGGTCAACATGCTAATGTAGCCCTCATTGCTAATGTTAGCTTGATAGATGAACTTAGCATTTTATCCAAATTGATTTATAAGCTAAACTTAAACTAAATAGATAAAGTCAGTATTAAGCAACATGCTAGTGATAGCTCCCACATTAAGCTAACATTAGCACCTTAACTTTAGCATTTTTCTAAATATAAAACACTTGACCTAACAGACGTAAACTTTATATTTTTAGTGTAAATTATTGACGCTTTAATGCTCAAAACCTCTGATTTTAATCTGTTTAATCTATTTTCTGTCTGATTTTTTGTTTGCATCTAGTGCTTCAGATTCCATACGAGTCTCCGTGTTCCTCCCATGTCACGCTTCAGCAACCAACATGTGAGTGTTTCTGTCTCCATGTCTGACAGAAAACCTCATGTTTCATGTCTGATAGTTAGAACTGGTGTTTCATTAGTGTCAGTACAATAAGAATCATTTCTACACATGTGAAACAAAAGGTGGTAACTTTCAGCGTGAACAGCGTTCTGCTTCGCTCCACTGATCAGCTTTGAGTTTCAGGGTTTCTCACTTTGAGCAGAATAAAAGTTCCTTTTGCTGAGAGCTTGTGGTTAAAGGAAGCGGTGATGGCGGCGGTGATGGCGGCGGCGGCGGCATGGCGTTCAGCCGCTGAACTAATGAAGTGTGCCTTCCTGTGTGGCAGCAGCCAAAGCCTGGAGCTGGATGGAAGGAGTCTGTTCAGGAAAGTGGGTGTCTTTACTTTATGTCCTAGTTAAAGTCCATCTCCTCGGGCAGGGTGTCCAAACTTTATGACATGTGGGGGGAAAAAATCAATCAGGCTAAAAAACCAACCTAAAATAGAGCAAATAAATTATCCTGATATTTTCTGAAAATCCAGAACTTCATGATAGCAGAAGGAGGAAATTTCCATCAAAAATTCAGACATTTTGTGATTCATCTCAGAAATTTTATAAAAAACTTTACATTTTCAAAAGAAAACCTTCAACATTTGAAAACTCTCGGATTTCAATGTTTTTTCTAGAAAATTTCTGATATTAATTTAAATTTTGGATTTTTTTTTTCAACAAATTTCCTTGTTTTTCTGGAAAGTTTATGAGATTATGCTCAAAATTTCTCTTTTTTTTTTGGCAGAAATGTGCTACTTTTCCTTTCCTGCCTGAGATGCTGCAGCAGATTTTGCTGTATTAAAAGAAAAACATCTGGTTTCCAGTTTCCAGATGTTCAGTGATAAAAACAAGATTTGTGTGATTTTGTTTCCAAATATTTGCTATTTATCAAAGTTTAAGAAAGAATAAAAGCTGATATTGTTGCAGAAGTTGTGTTTTCAGTAAAAGTCTCTGGAAAAACTTTGTTTTGTTAAAATGTGGTTATAAAACCATGAGTACTTTCTGTTGTACTTTACATTTTCCTATGTAAAGAAATATGTTGGTAACAATTTTTCCAGATTACAAATTAAAAGTCTCCATCTGCAGCTGCGGGCCAAATTTGCACCAGTTTTGAATCGCGGTTGGGGGCCACACAGAATCAGTCTGAGGGCCACAGATGGCCCCTGAGCCGCTCTTTGGACACCGCTGCCTTAGCTTTATAACGATTGTGTGACTCTGCTTCAGCCCATTTCTGCGCCCAGACTGTCGGTGATGAAGGCGCTGCCAGAGGGACGATCAGGTGAGTCCAACACGCCGAACAGCTGAACGCGATCTGGGTCAGACCCAACACAACACCGCTGAGTCAGCACTTCTGCAAAATTCAGTTTAGTGGAGGGATTTTTAGGTTTTAACGCCTCTCTTCCTAAAAACACTGACATTAATTTCCAACTACTAAATTAACACCATCGTTCCTTCATGATGTCTCAGACAGCTGAAGAATCAATGTGTTGTTTTTCTCCATGAACTGTGGATTTCTCTGGTGTTTCGTTCAGAACTGGCCACCCACAGGTCCTACAGCCAGAACCCACTGACCTCCCACTCTGCTCACTCAGCCACCGTCAGGTGAAACGCTTTACCCTCATCTCCACCGTTATCACTTCAGATAATTACAAAATATATCCTGATGTTTAAGGTCGGACTATTGAAACCTGCTTTTGAGCCTTATAAGACGTTTCAGCAGATAAACCGATATTTTTCTGAAGCATGTTGCATCTTGTATGTGGTATTAATTCTTTGTGCTTCTGAAAAATGAGGAATTGGTTGTAAATTCAGAGTAACAGGATGGTTCCTGTTGTTTTCCAGCCGTTTTTCTCCCTCCACTCCAGAGTCGTACGGTCAGAGTTCAGCCTGGAAGTCGCCCCAACTCAAAGCTTTGTCCTCCTTCAGGCGCTCTGCGTCCTTCCTGGGGTTTCCCCCTCCTTAACGCTGCTGCTTGGAGGACTGATGAGGCACATGAAGGTGTTAAATGTGCAGCTTCAACAGGCAATGAGAGACAAACTGCTCTTTTCTGTCAAACTGTAAATGAAATAAATTGGTGAACGAGTTCAGCGTGTTTGAGTCAAATGGCTGCAGCAGCTCTTTTGTTTCTGCTTTTCAACTTTAAATCTGCAATCTAAACATTCATCCATCGGCAGGAAGTGAAGATGAACACACTGAGACAGTTAGCGTTAGCTTCTGCTGATTATTTTACGTGCTGATCAGACTAGCATTAGCATTTTCAAGAAAAGTTATGTTTAGCGTTAGCCTCCAATAAAATAGTGGTTTAGTGTTAGCTTCAGCAAATATTTTTGTTTTTACTTATTGTTATTTTCTGAATTTTTTAATGTCTAGCAGTTTAGCATTAGCTCCTGATCATATTTAGTGTTAGCAGCACTAATGTTCTTGTTTAGCAAACTAGAGTTAGTGAAGCTAAGCTTTGAGTTAGCTGTGCTCACCACTGGCAGTAACTGATCTTAGTCCAAACATTTAATCTGTATGAAAGCCACAGCAGCCATTTGTAAAATGTTCCCCAGGAAAAGGAAACGTTTGATTTGTGCAGGGTGTGAAGGATCATCACATGACCAACAGCCACGGTGGCCGTCATGAAAAATGTCAAAATGATCAGGAAATATGATTTCTGAGACCAATTATGTCCCATCTTACACCAGAAGTATTCATCGATGATAAATATTGGTCAATTTAATGCAAAGAAACATTTTCCTTGATGGCCACGGCCGCCATCTTGAATTGTTCGGTGACTTTTAAACTGATTTGTGGCCCTGGGAGTTTTTTACTTCTGAAAACTCTTTAAATTAAGCAGCAGCTTTTGCTTCATGTTTGTGGGATGTTGGGTTTGGAACCGTTTCATCTGCAAACTGAGCTGGAATTGATGCTGCAGTAACTGACATCCCTCATCCTGTCTGGAGGGATCCGTCTGAGGCGTCAGCCGCAGTCCAGGCGTCCCGGATGCGTTTCGCCAACTTGTCATTTCACCTCAAAGCTGTTACAAACAGCTGCAGGTGAAGACAAAGGGAGGCATCCACTCAGAAACCGGATATCACCTGAAGTCACGGCGGCTCGGAAAGCCTCGGCGGCCCGATGTGTTCGGGCAGGTCGGTTCCTCCTGGTCGGTTCCTCCTGAGCGGCCCGCCGCGGTCGGCGCCATTGTCCCGCTGTCAGGCTGCTGAATGACGCCTATTGAAGGCGGCTCAGGTGCGGCTGTGTGTGTTCTGGAGCGGCGCACGCAACGTTCAGCCTGTTGCTGCTCTCAGGTGGGGAGGGCTGGTGCTGATCCTCCTCCAGTGACGTCTGAACCCGGTTCCTGACTGAAGGGACAGGCGGCTGAGCCTCAGATCTGCTTTCCACTGAACAGCAAAACATTGAAATTACTACAATAATGTCATTTTATGGACACTGTAATTTGAAAAAATTATTTTTCAACAAAACGTTTTGGCTTATTTTGCAAAAACTACAATTGAAGTTTTGCAAATTAATTTCCATTGTTATTTGCTTCACACAAATTATGTGATTAACTACAGGAAGTTACTACTGTTAGAAACCACAAAGAGACGGCCGGAAGTGGATAGAGGAAGACGGTGCAGCATGTTTTTAATGACGTAATGCCTGAACAAATGTGATTTTAGTTGCATTTCTTATTTCACACTGCAATTGTGAAATTGTGTTTTTTCAACATTAGCTGAATATTGACAAAGTTTTGCTCACATTTGTAAAAGATAAAAACTCACTGCTAATGTGCCACAAAGAGTGCAGATGTTAAAATCAGCGTAATCTTTTCCTCATGTTGGTAATAAAGAATAACAGGTTTTAAACTTTCTCTCCTGCAGCCTCACATGCGTCGCTGCAGGCCGTACAAATGAGCTCTGCTACTTCAGAGAGCTAAAGCAAACTGCTCTGATGTCAGCCGTAATTATTCAGCAGCGTGTTCCCACAGACTGTCCTCTGCTGTTCGCCTCTGTGTGTGTGTGTGTGTGTGTGTGTGTGTGTGTGTGTGTGTGTGTGTGGGGTGTGTGTGTGTGTGTGCGAGGGGAGAAAGAAGCTCCCTTTTAATCTCATCCAGACTTCACACTTTGTCGCTCTGCGTTCAGCCTCGTACCTCTGGAGGTGTAATCCCCTCCGGCAGGACATGACACGAACTAAATGATTTCACACTGGAGCTATTTGTCTGTTAGCGGCTGCAGCCTGAGCCGACGGCGTCATTTGGGATCTTCATCACGTATGCAGTTTAACACAAAGTGATGATGATGTTTAAACTTCAGATTTACTTCATAATGTTGGTTTAAAGTAAACCATTAAAATAATGTCAATTCTTTCCAGTTGAGTTCAAAGTGATTTCAGTTTCAATCTATCGGTGAGCGAAAGATCCTCCTGATCTGCTCCAGTCTTCTTAAAGGGCCAGTATCATGTAAAATGAACTTTGTTTTCAGCCTTCCATCATGTTCTAAAGTTTTTCCTCATTTTGCTGGTGGCCCTAGCCCCGCCTTCCCGGCGCAGCTCCTCCCCACTCAGCTCCTTCAGACTAGCCAGCAGCAGGCTCAACATTTTCCATTGCAAGAAAATTGTTTCGAAAATAATTTTACTCTGATTACAAATAAAAGCCTCAATCTGCAAACATTTAATCTCAACATTAATCTCACATTTTCCAACCTTGCAGAACAAAACAGTTAAATCTCTTTCTGCATGTTCCAACACGTCGTTTCAAAATGGAGGCTGATGGTCGAATCTTTCTGTTTTTTTAAATAGATTTCGAATGAAATGCGAATGAGAATCTTCTAATGTGAATTGATTTTTGGCTCATCAGGAAAATTAGTGACACATTTCTACTGTTGCAGTTAAACGACAACAGCTGAATACATTGAAACGCTAATTTCCACTGCAGAAACACAAAACCCTCCTGAGTATTTTGGTCCGATTTCTAGTGCAAGTATCTTAGTACAGTTTAAGACAAAACCTACAGAGAAATAACTTTTCATCTAAGCTTCATTTTCTACATCCAATAACCAGAAACAACTTGAGGAAAAGGGAAATGTTTGTTTATCTTATTGTTGACAGAACAAACAGATTATTTTGTTGATATATTTAAAGATAACGGAGCTTCAACCTGAGCTTTTCTTTTTCTTTCCAGTCATTTCAAGCTGGGACTCTGTGTTCCCATTTATCCTCTGGCAGAATGATTTCTATGTGAAAAGAGCAAATAAAGTAAATTAGCTCTAGCAGAAACACTTTGTGTTCACACTTAACAAGTCCAAGTCAAAGTAATAAAACTATTGACTGCAACAAGAGGATGCAGCTGCAGTTTAATTTGACTTTAACTGCAGCGCTTCTGTGAAGACTCAGAGAACAAACAGCAACTCCATGAAACTCGGTGATGGCAGCATCATGCTGTGGTGACCATGATGTTCGAAGTATCAACAATCATCTTCAAGGGAAAGCATGTTGCCTGAAGGCTGACTCCTCAGGAAGCAAACATCACTGCAAAATCTCAAATTAGCCAAAATGCTAACGTTAGCCTGGAAAAACCAGCATGTCCAGTTATATTGACTTCATTCATTGAGTAGCTTAAACTCAATGATCATCATTGTTTATTAGAGACCTCAGTTTTGGCCAATGAGGCAAAAAGTCTGGACTCCCAGTGTTGAACAGCCTAAAAATATTAATTATATTGTTTAGAGACCAAACTTTAAATTCTGATGAGCCTTTAACTGGATGGCATTTTCAACACTAGAACGTTTCTTAAACACTTTAAACGCTGCCTGCCTGCCAAAGTGTACATTTATTTGATAATGAACATGATCCAACATGGCCGCCAACATGGCCGCCACTTCCTCCCACCCAGAGCCAAAGCTGGCGGCGGATCGGAGGCTGAGAGGCGGGAGGCCGCTGGAGGCGGCGCTTCCTTCCGCTCAGCCGCGTCTCTTTGTTCCTCCTCATCCCGCTGGAAGCCGCAGCTCCGCTTTGAGTTTTTGTCTCGGAGGTTTTAATGGTGGAGAGGAATGTAAACACAGCAGCAGGTGTGTCTGCTGTCTGAGCGCATGGGCGTGTGTGTCAGTGTGTGTGTGTCAGTGTGTGTGTGTCAGTGTGTGTGTGTGTCAGTGTGTGTAAGTGTGTGTGTGTCAGTGTGTGTAAGTGTGTGTGTCAGTGTGCGTGTGTGTCAGTGTGTGTGTGTCAGTGTGTGTGTGTGTCAGTGTGTGTGTCAGTGGGGGTGTGTGTGTCAGTGTGTGTATGTGTGTTAGTGTGTGTGTGTCAGTGTGTGTGTGTGTCAGTGTGTGTGTGTGTGTCAGTGTGTGTGTGTGTGTCAGTGTGTGTATGTGTGTTAGTGTGTGTGTGTGTGTGTCAGTGTGCGTGTGTGTCAGTGTGTGTGTGTGTCAGTGTGTGTGTGTGTCAGTGTGTGTGTGTCAGTGTGTGTGTGTGTGTCAGTGTGTGTGTGTGTGTCAGTGTCAGTGTGTGTGTGTGTGTCTTTCATGGTCATTGACTCATTTCACCTGGATTCTCCTTTAGAAGGTTCTCTCATGCAGCTGCTGTTGACTCAGACGTGCAGGAATCCAGACACGTAAATATCGATTTGTGCTTTGAAATTGATCAATGCTTTCAATACTTCAGTAATGTGACAAAACGCATCTTAATAAGAGGAGTTCAATTATTAAGATATTTCCTGAAAGAGACGTTTTTGTGGGAACTACTTTTTCTTCCGCCTGCTTAAATGAGTTACAAAATAAATTCGCCTCATAAAAACACGTTCATTAAAAAAAGTCACGTTTTGTGCCGTGATGACGCATTTCCTTCTGCTGCGATAAAAACCTTTTCAGCGTCATGGAGTCACGTGATCAAAAACGTGGTGAAAATGACGAAGACAACAGAAGGAAGCGGTTATGATTTTTTTATGATTATTATTATTTTGGAAACAAACTTTTCTTTATTTTAAAACCCAAAAATAGAAATAGATACTGATCAGAAATTAATTCTGCTGATATCCGGGGTTCTGGTCGGTTTTATTCAGCCAGAAGTTTCAGAATCCTGGTCCACAGGGAGAACCTGAAGGCAGCAGCA